CTTCGCCCAAAAAAAAAAAAAAAACAAAAAAAAAAACGAAAAAGAAGAAAGAAAGATAGGTAGGGGGCGAGTTTCTCAAGAATGAAGAGGGAGAGAGTTTCCATGGGCCTACTCACGAACCGTGAAAAATGGCGAGTGCATCTTCCCATAGAAAGTGGCAATATACATCCTTCAATACAAGTAATGGCGGATGTATCTTGCCACCTCCTACGTGAAGATGCGCTCGCCATTTTTCCTTGTTAGTGATTAGTGCTGCGAGCGGTAAACTGCGACAGAGAAGACCCCTGATGATCCTGGTACGGCGACCAGGTGAAACCGGTAGGGTCATACGCCGCACGCGGATGGTAGTTTCGTCCGCACAGACTGGAGTTACTTCATGTTCTTCATTTGAAACTCCATAGTCGCGTTCGGGTTTTTTACCTTGGTTTACCATTGTCTGTTCTTGTACGTCCCGTCTGGGTTTTGCCGAGTCGCGTCTATCTATTTCCCCTCCTTTTCTTTTTCTCTCTCTCTCTCTATCTCATCTGTGGATTCATTGTATGTGGTCTTGTAGTCAGGTCTTGTGAATGTCATTGATGCTAGCAAGAATCAACACGTCTGCTAGTCCTCATCAGTGTCGTACTTCAAGCTGGTCGTGGATGTTTCCTTAAAAAAAAAAAAAAAAAAGACTTCAAGCTGGTGCTCCTAGAGGATGGGGATCACGGGGGCGACGGGGGGCAACCGGAATCTGGTCGCACCATTGTCCAGGTTAAGGCGTCGGGATCAGCAAAGCTCCCATCATTGAGGAGGGTTGAGCGCCCCAAGTTCCCAACGACCTGGAACCACAGGGCGGGGCGACCGGAATCCAGTCATAGTTGTTGTCCTGGTTAGGCCGTTGGTATCACAAGGGGTTCTCCAGTGACGAGAGCTGGAACCCAAAGGCCAGCTGCATCAAACACCATGCTTGTCCAGGTTCGTGGTGGAACCCAGTCACGACCTCTGTCCAGCTTATGGATAAAAAGACACCCCTTCATGGACAAGGTTCTAAGCCAACGACCTCCAGCAGGAGCAGGTCGTGGGAGGTCCGGGGATGGAACCCAGTCACCAGGCTTGTCTAGGTTCGGGATTCGAGATCAACAGGGATCCCTTCATGCACCAGGCTTCCGGCCGAAGGACCTCGGGCAACCTGTGTGTGTGTGTGTGTTTGCTCGTTTCCTTTCTTCTTCCAATAGGAGCTCCAATAGGGATCCGCGACACACGGATTAGCCCAATGGGAAAATAGGATGGAAGAAGGAGGGTTTTTTTTTTTTTTTTTTTTTTTTTCCGAAAAAAATTTGGACCATTTCTCGATTTATGCGTGTCATCCTTGCGCAGGGGCCATGCTAATCTTCTCTTTCTCTGTATCGTTCCAATTTTAACGGATGTCCCGAAGGACGTTTCTATATTCTTCTCTCAACTTCTGTTTCTTTTACCTTCCACTCATTGTTAGTGAAAGACGGATCGAAGAAGGAACTTGATCGTTGGAATGACTCGTGGCAGGGAAAGAGACGTTTGTCGATTGCATGGTACCCCGACACGTGAACATGCGGGGAAAGCTGGCCTGCAAGCTCAAGCTTAGTCGTAGCATCGACAATTCAAAAGTATACGTGGACTGATATTTGTAGCCCGTTAGGGGGCCGACACGTAACGGACATTATTGCGCTCGATGCAACGTCTACATGGCAGTCCAACCGGAGCCGTAGTAGCTAGTGGAAGTGCCCGTTGGAGGAGGGCGTGCTGTGGTGACGAAGCGTCCTACTTGGCGTTCAGTATAGAGGAGGGCAAGGCCTGATCGGCCCTCAGTTCTCAGAAGGAAGGGAGGTGGGATCGGTGGGCCGCAAGGCGAGGGTGTGTGGGAAGCCCCCTGAGGATGATCGGAGCGCAACCGATCGAAACGCGTCGGGGAATATGCGCGTGAGCTGAGATGAGTATGCGTTGCTTTGTATTGACGAGCTTTTGAAGCGTGTACGTAAGGCAGTTGGCCACTGTTTCCACTATTCTTCTTCTTCTTCTTTTTTTTTTTTTTGGGAATGTCGAAGTGGAGGAGAGTTGTTGGTTCAAAAAAAAAAAAAAAAAAAAAAACTTCTGGGTTGGTCCAACAAGGTAAAAGAAAAAGGAAAAACAGAGGGGAACGAAAGGAAGGATAGGTCGTTAGGCTCGACGGCTGGCTCCCGGCTAATACTATCTGTTTGCCTCAAGAAGCTGGTCACATAAACCCCTCCCTCCCCCCTTCACCCCCCTCCCCCCCCTTCCCCGGGGGCCAAGTCCCACTAGCAGCGTTGAGCTACCCCAACGCCTGAATCTGGACGTGTTTGTGGAGACGTGCAGATCAGGAAACTCTACACCATTTCTGTACATCTTCCGCAAAAGCGTCCAGATTCAGGCGTTGAGGTAGCTCAACGCTGCTTGTGGGACTTGGCCCCGGGCCCAATTCCACCTCACTGGGACACGAGAAGGGCCCTGCCGGCTGACCGGCCCTTCCAGTCCTTTCTTCTTCCTCGGGGAGCCCTGCTCTTGTGGGATGTTCTGGCAAGTGCGGAAATGTTAATGGCCCTTTCTCTCCTTGCGTCCCCGTTTCTTCATAAGCGTTATGGTGATGAGGGATAATGATGATGATGATGATATTCATGATGTTGATGATGTTGATGATATGATGATGATGATGATGATGATGATTACGGTTTCGATCGGTAAGAAGAATCAATGTACGACATTGTCATCTTTGAAGATCATCTGACCGCATCATGTTAACTTACCGGTGTCAAGTTATCGACCGTCGAATTGATTGGCAATGATTGGCAATCAATGATGGATAATCAATGATTGGCAATCACTGATGGATAATCAATGATTGGCAATCAATGTTGGATAATCAATGATTGGCAATCAATGGTCCTGCCTCCAGTGCAGTGGGAGTAGAGAAGTCAGTCCAATTCCGGAGGAGACACCTGCTGTTGCTAACGTATTAAATTTTCTAAACAAAAAACTACAATCTTTTCGTTGACTGAGCTGCTTTGACCGTTGACCATCAAAGTGCTTTCTGACTGAATAATGTGATATACATCGTTTGTCAAATGACGGTGCTTGTTTCTCTTGGACCAGGTTCTTTGGATGATCGGACAAGCGTCTGCACCCCTCGCAGAGGAGAAGGAGACTCGATTCTGAAGGACTATCAAAAAGGAGAGGGAGGGAGGGAGGGAGGGAGGGAGGGAGGGAGTGTTGCTGAGTAAGTGGCAGTTGCAGCCAGCATCATTGTCAAGAGATCTACAGATTGTTCTCATCATCAATCAATCAATGACGATCATTGAGGGCAATCATTGAGGGCAATCATTGCAGCTCTTTGGGTCGTGATTGGAGTCAGGGTGTACCGGTTGGGAGCGGGAGAGGGGGTGGGGGAGGATTAGCAGGAGGAAGGGAAAAAGAGGAGATGGCGGCTTGCTGACGTCATCGAAAGTTCCATGATCCATATACGGACACGTGGCAACGAGCGGCCTGCTGACGTGGTCGTCAGCATTGTAGATGAAGGGGAGGAGTCGAAGTACTAGTACCGTTTTGCCCCGAACACAACTCATCCTCATTTTGGCTGCACCGAACCGGAAAGATAGCTTGTATACATGCGTTATCAGGGTGCGTTGTGTTCGGGGGAAGAAGGTAGTAGGGAAATCCAGTCCAGAACGGGGAGTAGTCGTAGTACTACACGTAGTAGTAGTTGTAGGAGGAGGAGGAGAGGGAGGAGGAGGAGGAGGAGGAGAAGGCTTATTGCAGGTTCTGGCAGGTAGTAGGCACTGGGAGAGGGCAAAGTAGTGATAGAGGTTGTGATACCCGCGGTAGAGAGGACAGGAGACACGTGGAAGCTCGTCGCCGCTCCACGAGGTCATTTTTTTTTTTTGCAGTTTTGCAGTCTGTTGGAGAAGAGGACCAGGTTCATTCGCTCGCTTACCCGACGGGAGGGAGCTTTCTGTCTGCAGTTGCAAGCAAACCTAATCAGGACGAGGATCAGGACCAGGACCAGGACCAGGACTGGGAGCAGAACCTGCGCCAGGGAGCTCTTCGATCCGCGGAACGACGTCATTCATTCCCAGTGGCGGCGCCAGGAACAGAACCTGAACCAGGACCAGAAACAGAACCTTGACCAGGACAGAACTTGGGCCAGGAACAGGTCCTGGACCAGGACAAGAAGCTGGGCCAGGAGCTGGAGGAGGACCAGGAGCAGCGAGCGGGTCATGGACCCCCGCAGGGCAAGGCGAACCCAATCACGAGTATGAGTGGTTCAGCAGGAAGGGCGCGTGCGGGACCTGGTTCCGGTTGTGGTCCCTCTTCTGGACCTGGTTCAGTATGGAACCCACCCTCTGTCACCCATTGGCCCAGTTCCAGGGTCCCGCCGTCGCGCAGGGTTAGGTCTGCGCCCCCGCCGCAGCAGCAGATGCCCGCGGGGAGCGCGCCCGGCGGCAGCCGGCCGCAGTCGGCGGGAGGAGGCGGGTCGTCAGCAGCGGCTGCAACGTCAGCATCCGGTAGATCTGCTGCCAGTACACGTGTCAATCGATCAGCCACAGCAGCTCCACGTCAAGCTAATTGGTGCCTTGCACAGCCCCCCCCAGCTCCCCCCCCGCAGCTTAATAATGTGCGAGAGATGTTCCAAGAGGGCGCGCTTCTTGCTGGCCCATGGGAGAATGGAGGTGGTACTAGGAGAGCCCATGTCGCTGCCGCGCCAATTGCTCCAGGCATGACAGGGACGATTCCCACCACAGGACCCGCCACCACCGCTGAACCGTTAGGTCCCGTTCCGGGTCCTCCTGGTCCCGTTTCCGGTCCTCCTGGTCCCGTTGGTGGAGGGTCAGCAGTCGGCGGGAGAACTGCGGGCTTACAACTTGGTGGTGAAGGGGGTCATCAGTCGATAAATGTTGGAGACAACAACAAAACGGTTGGAGGACGGGTGGGAGTCGGATTGGGATTGCGCAGGCCTGCGAGCTCGCCGTGCGGCCGGGTAATGACAACGACCACCAGTTCGAAAGGGAGGGAGGGGGAGAGGGAGAGGGAGAGAGAGAGAGAGAGAATGAAGCAGAGGACGAGGCCATGGTATGGCAACACAATGTCTTCATCGCCATCGCCACTGTCGTTCGAGGACCAGGTGAGAGAGACTCCCCTCCCTCCCAACGCTATGTCTCCCCCTCTCCTCCCCCTCTCCTCCCCTCTCCTCCGCTCTCCTCCCCTCTCCTCCGCTCTCCTCCCCTCTCCTCCCCTCGCCTCCTTCCCTCCCTTCTCCTCCTCCCCTCCGTTCTCCTCCTCCCCTCCGTTCTCCTCCCTTCCCCCGCCAAAGTGTAAGTACTCTTGGGAGTCTTAGGCCAGCTTACTTGCAGCTTCGGACTGGTCAATCTGTCAAAGCATATCAATCTGCGGTAATGACGATGTTGACGATCATCATCGTTGACTTCACTATAGGAAAAATAATATTTAACAGCGAGATTGTGTGAAAAATAATGCTGGCATTCATAATTCTTATAATACACCAGTCAATCAGTGATACTATCACATTATTAAAACTAATCAAGGTCGGACACTCACTCGCATCTGCGTACTATACAAAGATACAAAGATATGGAACCGTGTTCCATACGCTACATAGTAACCAATACTCTATCCATAGTGTGCGAATTAGCTCCCTGACAGTGTGACACCATCTCTCGATCCCCATCTTCCGTCTTCTTTCTTCCTTCTTCTTTCTTACTTCTTCTTTCTTCCTTCTTCTTCCTTCCTTCTTCTTCTTGTAAGGTAGGGAGGTGTGATCGGTGGGCCGCAAGGCGAGGGTTGTGTGAGAAGCCCCCTGAGGTCCTGAGGATGATCGGAGCGCAACCGATGGAAACGCGTCGGGGAATGTGTGCGCGTGAGCTGAGATGAGTATGCGCTGCTATATGTATCGATTGATGAGCCTTCGAAGCGTGTACGGAAGGCAGTTGGCCACAGTTTCCACTATGCACATTGACTGGGGGCTTCGTCGACAGGCCTATGTGGTGGGGTCAGGTGCAAGTGTGACTGGGTACACGGGGTCGCTGGAAACCGTGCTGGGGTGGGGTTAAGTACCAGTCTTGGGGCTTAACTTGTGCACCCCAGTCAGCTTAGCCGTTTGGTTGAGCGTGCAACAACTCCCATGAGGGAGGCTTGAGGATCGGATCATGGACGAAAAAATGAAATTCTTCTTCTTCTTCTTCTTCTTCTTCTTCTTCTTCTTTCCTAACTGTAGGGGGCAATCTACCCGTATTATAGAGTTGCCGCCAGGGGGCAATCTACCCGTATTATAGAGCACATATACTGTAGATTGCCCCCTGGCGGCAACTCCCGAGGTATTTAGTCTTACTCCTTTTCGAGCTAGTTCTTCTTCTTTTCGCACTGGTTGTTGTTCTTCTTCCTTTTCGGACTCCTCTCTCTCTCTCTCTCTCTCTCTCTCTCTCTCTCTCTCTCTCTCTCTCTCTCTCCGTGTATGTGTGTGTTCATTATTGTGTTGCAGTTTATGTACTTGTCTCAAACTTGCAGTATTGCATGCAGATGATTTGGACTTGGGGGGGGTACTGGAGTATTTCAATTCGTCTAGAAGGATGGTAGCACCTTAGTGTGCGGGGGGGTCAGGCCACAGTCTCTATTGCTCCTATGTGTATGCTTTTTTTTTTTTTTTTTTTTTTGCGCCTATGTTATGTGAATTGACAGTAGTGTCAGTAGGTGCAAAGTGAGTGGCATGCAGCTTTCTTTCCGAATCATTAATGAATCTAGCAAGCGAAAGGAGTAGCGTAAAGTCTCTGAGGATACCATGAAAGCACGAACCTAGCCGCTATTGGGACCAAGTTCATGCTTTCCAGGCAAGCGTTAATGGCCGGATTCTTAGCGTATTAGTCCGTACCGGTTATGGTGAAGGACAGATGTAGCTCCCCCTTTTATGTTTAGAAAGGGGGCAAAACTACCGTCTTCACCGGAATAGAACCCTCGGTCATTATGGGTGCATCTGGAGTCTGGACTGAAGGTTGCCCCAAATACTGTTATAATGACTGGGCGTTCTATTTTGCGGAACACAGCAGTGCAGTCAGAATGCACCTGGGCATCTTCACCTCCCTGTGCAGTCTGACTGGGCTAGTTTTGGCATTTGCAAATTCCAATCTGTGTGTGACACTGTGTGTTGTGGTGTTAGCTCTGTGCAGTGCCCTACCCCCGTTCACCGTTCACGGGGTCTGTGAACGGAGCCGGTCATAGAGTTCACGGAGTTCACGACA